CCCACCCAGGCGACCCACTGCTTGGGGAGGGACATCGAGTACCAGCCTCACTGGAGCTCACAGTCAGGGAGGTCACGGGACAGGCCACACCGCTCACAGCAGGGCCCCTGGGGTTCAGGCTGGAAGGGAGGAAGACTGAGGTCTTCAGGGGTGAAGGGGCGTGTGGGCGCAGAGCCGAGAGAACAGGACAGTCTCTGGCAGGTGGTCGAACCCTGCCGGCTCCCCGGAGCTCCTGGCCCCTTCCCACTAGCCAGGATCGCCTCTACGTGACATACCCTGCCACGTCTGTTAACAATGAACAGAAACCTACTTGCTTATGCATCTTTCTCTCCGTTAGACTGGCACATCTCAAGAACTGCCGTGGACTGAGACTTCTGGGTGGCTTCTAAGGTGGCCCAGGACCCCAGGCAAGCCCCCTGCGCTAAGTGTGTGCTGGAACCAGGGACCAGGACAGGACAGCTGCTCCCTTAGTTTGTAACTGATGGCAAAGGTGATGATCTCTCTCCTGATGGCATCAGGCTCTCCTGTCGGCCTTGAAGAAGCTGCCAGCCATGTCTATAGCCGCAAGAGAATGCATTCTATCAGGAACCAGTGTGAGCTTAGAAGAGGGCCCAAGGCACCAACGAGACCCCAGCTCTGGTCAACACCTTGCCTGCAGCCACGTGAGACCCCCCAGCAGAAGATCCAACTCAGTCATGTCAAGGGTTCCTGGCTCATACGAGCTAAGAGGTAAACATGTGTGCCGTTTCTGACTGCGGAGTTTGGGGCGGCTTGTTACGCAGCAGTAGATCACTGATACAGCAGCCTACACAGAGCCGGGATGCGGCAGCAGCTCAACACCTCTGGGCGGGACTTGACCAGACAGACGTGACCCTCGACAGGGACAGTCCAAGTCGAGGCTGGGAAGCCATCAAGGAAGTCAGAGGAAGCTCCAAGGGTAGACAGGCATCGAAGAAGAGGTTCTGAAACAAGATGGGAGGCAGGGCCTGCAGAGCGAGGACACACTCCATCCCGACTCGTCCACGAGAAGGCAGAGAAGGTTACACGGAGATCAGGGTCCTCTGCGGATTTCCGAAGCAGGGAGAGGAGCGAGGCAAAGGCGGGTGCACAGGGGTTTTCAGTTTCCCACTGAAACCGAGTAAAAGAGAGAAGACAAAATCCTGCTGCTCTGGCCCAAATGTTTGCTTGGGCAAGCAAGAAAAGAAATTAACAGAACTCTAATGATCATTTTCACGTGCTTGACTTGGAAACGCTGGATATATATAAAAGAAAAAGGAGCAAAACATTCACTCCTGATCCACCGTCTGGAAACAATATAACCCTATTCCCTCCCCGGGGCCATGCCTGGCACACAACCACTTGAGTCTCCTGCCAGACCGAGGCAGCTCCCAGGATGGCGAGGGAGCCAGGGGCTGCCGTGGCGGAGCCATCTGCTCGCCGGTTCCCACAGTCTGAACAGCGCAGCTTCCCAAAGGGGACTGCCGCGGCTGGCAGCAGGCTGCATAGAGAGCAGGCGGGGGCGAGGGGGAGCGAGGGCTCTGGGTCCCTCAGCTTCCCTCTGGGGGTGCGGCGAGAGGCTCCCCAGACGTCCCCCAGGCCTTCGGAGAAACCGACTGGGTGACAGTCGAGATCCTGCAAAAGGTGCGCTCCTATTTCCATCGTACGGGACGTCACCGGGTAAACGATGCAGGCTGGTCCCTGGTCCGAGTCACAGGGCATCCACGGGGATGGCCCTCCCAGCCCCGACCCAGTGGGCCTGGCCCCTGCGGGGAGTCCGGCCCTCTACTGCTGGGCTGGGAAACTAACACTGACAGAACACCATCCTCTGAAGACCGATCAGAGCCACTGTCCACACCCATCGTGGACCTGGCTCCGTACAAACTACTGGTCAACCCTGAAAGGCTGACGCTTTATCCGTTTTACCAACGGACGAACAGAGACCTACAGAGACACAGTAATTCCGAGAGGCATGTGGGCACCTCTACTAGTGCGGAAGCCAGGCTCTGGACCCCGTTGTCTTTCCCCGAAATGTGCTTCTTGTAACTGAATGCAATTCACTGCAGAATCAAAACCAAGTTGATATGTTTAAACTTCCTGAAGTGCTACGTGCAGGCGAAGAACTAAGACCCTGTCCCTAAGTGAAGCCCCAGTTAGGGACGAGACAAGAACTCAAGTACTTGCCAGGGGAGGCAGGTGCGGTACCTGGCCCAGAAAGAAACCAGGGGTCACCTGCTGAGGGGAGGGAAGTCACAGAGGTTTGCGGGGGAGCACGCGGAGCTGGCCGTGAGGACTGCGGCCAGCTGGAAAAGAAACTGGCTTAGAGAAGGAGTCTGGTCAGGGAGCGGCGGTAGAACTGAAAAACGGCACGTCCCTGCGAGCAAAGGCCAGCGATGAGGCTGAAGTCAAAAAACGCTGTGTGGACCAGGAGGATGAAGCTGGGGGCACGTCCAGACTGGCAGCCCTCTGACAGCTGGATGATAAACTGAGGTCCAAGGATGGGTTGATGGGCGGCCCCTCAGTGAACCGGGGGAGGTTCACGGACCTGACCGTGGTGCTCCCAAGGGGGGAAGGGAGTGGGGAAGAGGGCAGGGTGAGAAGATCTGACCCACAAATTCAGCAATTCACTGGCTACATGTTGGGTCCAAGATCACTTCTTGGAGGACCCGCAAGATGAAGCTGTCCATTAAGTGTAGACAAAGGGATGAGGGAACAGGACGACCCTGCAGGCCCCAGTTTCTCTCCCACCAGCACCCTTTAGACACCAAATCAGGTCAGAGTAACTTCAGGATGAATGCGAAGCAAGAGAGATCTCCTCTCCCCAACTCTCCTCCCCCCAGGGAGCAAAGAATGACCAGCCATTCCACACATTTTTTCTCGAGGAGAAGCTCAGATAGCAGAGGTTTGGAAACGCAAATCCCCCCGCAGATGCCAACGAGCTGCAGTCACGCCGCTTACACGGGGACCTCGGCACTTCTCTCGTTCGGCTCGGAGGGCTAGACAGCAGGACTTTGTCCTCTGCCTGAAACGGGGCCTGAACGTCAAGGTGAGTGAAAAGCGGAAGAAAGGGGAGGCTTGTGAGGATGGGATCAGAGCCCAGGTCACCCCCAGCCTGGGTCTCCCAGGACTCACAATGGCCTTGGGGACTTGCTGAGAGCAGTGAAGAGGGACTCACGGGGGTCAGCAGGGTGATCTGGCCTCCCAGGAGGCACCGTCACAATTCAGCAAGGGTCCTGGGTTCCAGCCCTGATGCTGCCTCTAACCACCTGGGCGACCTAAACAAATCCATATGCCTGTACCTGCAACACCCGTGTCCAGCTGAATCACGAACCTGTTCGCCGGAAAGGCCGAGTCCTATGACAAACTCAAGTGTTACGGACAATGGAGGCCCCACTTGGAATGCAATCCGCGACCTGTGGGGTGGGGGGTGGGAATACCCCCTCCTCCTGGGGTTGCTGTGAGGATGGGATGTGGCCCTGCAGAGAGCTGCCTTTACTTCCCTCTGAATGGCCCTTTTCGGCTCCAAACGATGCAAAGAACGGGGCCTTTTATTGGCCAGCAGCACATACATGTCTTCCCATCACTGCTAGCTGTAAATTCTTTATTAATGGAAACAATTCAAAGTGCTACGTTGTCAGTGCAGGAAGGGCAAGTAAATAAATGAAACAGTTCTTTGCCCCAGAGACCATCTAAGTGCCATCTCCTGGGGAAGAGCCCTGGAAGAAAGGGACCAGCTTGAGGCGGAGAAGAGAGTCCAAGTCCAGGGAAGGGATGGAGACGAGCTGGGGGTGCGGGGCGCTCCGCCGGCCCTCCGCCCCGATCTCCCTCCCCCAACAGTCTCCAGAGCAGACCTCCTCTCCCCTCCCGGCCTCCACTTCCTGATCCACAACCCGGCCCGTGACTGCCCCCACTTGGGAATCTGGCTGATTCCAGCCTTCGAGACTCTGAGCGACCAGAACCCCCAGTCTGAAGAGTGAAATGTGTCACAGCACCTGGTCCTCCCTCCAGCGTAATGTGAAAAGGAGGACCTGGCCCCTGCACTAAGATGATTATCTTCCTGCACATGTGAGTTTTAGAACACAGGGTGCCTCCTTCCCTCAAACACAGAGGAAACTTCACAGACAGGCGAGGCGGAGCTCCACCACTCCTGTGTTGTGTGTTTAACCAGGAGGACAGCCTGCTCTCAGCAATGAATGGCTGACCCCAGTTTCTCAACACGTATTTCCTCTTCCAATTAATTCGCCTCCCCTTCCCAAGATGAAACAGACAATAATAATAATAAAAGAACAGTATCCTTGAAATTCTGTGCAGTTTCTTTTTTTCTGAATCTAGCTGTTTACTTTTTTAAACTCTTAAGAGCCAGCGTTTAAGACCAGATCATTGGAACAGAAGACTGCATTATATAATAAAGTACTAAAGCTTCTGCAAGCCAACAAAACACCCAATTTTTGGCAAAGAAAAACAACCATACTCTGGTGTCTACTTGGGAATATAGCAACTGAGGACTACACGCTTGGGGAACTTCTCAACAGGCACATGCGCGCGCCTGCACACACACACACACACACACACACACACACACACACACACACACACACACACAACCTGAGTTAATAAACTGAGGGGCTGAATGCCTGTTTCGAATCAGCAATGTACTTACCTCAAAAGGAATACCCTCCCCAAAGCACGATGGAAAACTGAGAACATATTAGAATGATTACTTTCTTTAAAGCAGAGGTAAAACCTGGAAGGACGTTTGTAAAGATGCTCATCATGGCAAAGCCAGGGTGATGGAATCCTGGCGATTCTTCTTCTCCTTCTCTGAATGTTACATAATTATTGAAACTGTTTACAGTTAAATGTCTGGATCATATGTAAAGCCCTCCTCCTACAGAAAAGCTGGTGTAGTCTCTCTCCAGGGTTCTCCCTCTTGGAAAGGCACGAGAGTATTTCTTACCTGCTTGGAAGAAAGACTTCAGGGTGAAAACGTGAAGCCTGCTTACCTGTGGTTTAACTTGCGATCTTCATCGCTGCCAGCCTCCAACTGCAGAGAAAGGAAGAGAATGTCACAGCCCAGACAACCACTATCAGTGAGCCTCAGACACAAGGCTCACATTTTCTGCTCTGGTGTCTGCAAAAGGTACAGATGTCCAGGAAACCTGGCTCCTTCCAAACATCGCAACCTTCCCGGACCAGTCCTGCTCTGCTGCTCCCCTGCAGAATTCCTGCGGAGGAATGTTCAGGTTTCCTAATGTTTTCCCTCCTGCCTTCCAAGGCATCGCAGATGGATGCCTGCTAACGCGGTGTTCCTAGCCAGCCCAGGTACTCCACACACGTTCCGCCCTGAGCTCTCCCTATTTCAGTACTGCTTTGGAGCTCACCCAGTTTTTCTTTCTTTTAAATTTTATTTATATGTTTGGACATGCAGGCATGTGGGATTTTAGTTCCACAACCAGGAATCATACCTGTGTCCTCTGCATTGGAAGCACAGTCTTTAACCACTGAATCGCCAGGGAAGTCCCCCGTTTTTCTTTTTTAGGGGAAGGAGGTGATATTTTAAGAGGCTCTGTTTCCTTCTTCTATCTAAGCAACAGTTGAGTGATCAACACCAATTTTTTTTTATAACTCTTACGATTTACTCTTACTAGCTTTCAAATATAACATACAGCGGTGTTAATTTTATTTATCATGTGGTATACTGTGTCTATATTACTTATTTATGTTATAACTGAAAGTTTATGTGTTTTGATTGCCTTTATCCATTTCCCCCTCACCTCAATCCCCTCCCTCTGGTAATCACAAATGATCAACACCATTTTAAACCACAACACACAAGTTTAAAAAACCACCACCACCATCACCATTCCAGGCAAGTCTTTCTTAACAGAAGGTAGCCAGGATCAGGCTGTCAGTGGGTCTCAAAGCTTTTGGTAGGTTCTCAAAAAGGCTTTCATGTTTAAAACTTTCTAGGCTCTTAGTGTATTTCTAGACATGAAAGAAAGGGATATTTAATATTTTCTAAAAGTTATAAGGCCACAAGGGTTAAAGGCTCCAAAAATAACCAGAATTTAAGCCCCAACTGCAATTTTTCTTTTCTTTTTATTTCAAGGAGAAAACTCAAATGAGAAGAAAACACACACCCCGACAACTTTCCACCACTGGGAGTTGGCATGTTTAGTATGTTACACAGAAGGGCCCATTGAATGGGAAAGAGAGAAACCTGGAAAGCAGCAATGGCTGGGAGAGATGCAAGGCTGACTGAGGACAGAAACCAGACAGAAGCTGGCAGTGGTGGGAAAAGGGTACAGAGGTCATGTGTGGAGGGCTCCGGGCAGCCAGGGACACACACCACAGGGGGCAATTTCATCAACAAATGAGCCTGGCACAGGGTCCTGGAATCCCCGTGCTGTAATAAGATCATGTACGTATTGCACTGGGCGGAGGCAGAAAGCATCGGTTCGTTCTCATGCTCCCCACCCCACACTGAAGAAGTAGAGACACCGGGGACGGCTCTGCCGACCACAGGGCCACCAGCTTCGGCCCCGAAGTGAAACATACACGAAACAACTCACACGACCACAGGAACAAAGTCAGAAGAGACTGTTGGGTCTAACCCAGTGCTTCTCAACTGGGGACCACGGCTCTTGGCAGGGGATACCAGGCAAGGCCGGAGCCTTTTTTGGGAGGATGACAGTGGCATCTAGTGGGTAGACTGCTGCTACATCTGCTGCAACACACAGGACGGGTCCCCTGCAACACAGGGTTTTCTGGCCCCAACATCGGCAATCCTGGGGTTGAAAAACCCTGATCTGATACTCCCCTCCCCAAAGGGACTGAAGATCCACCCGTGAACATTAGTCACATTGAATAGTGGTCAAAAATCACAGCGCCTGAAAGCTACTGCTTTATCTCTTCTTGGGCGCTCTGCCTGTTCTCACAACAGAATGAGACAAGGTTGACGGTAAAATGATATAAATGAGATAAAGATGGAGGGGAAGGGAGCGAAACCAAAAAGAGGGAAGCTTTGCTTTGCGGGATGGGCTGTGACTTCCCTTAGTTCCCATGCCGGGCAGGACCATGGGCTGGGAAGGAAAGAAGTGACCTGAGCGTGTCTGACTCAACGGAGGATGTGCATTTTGAGGAATAAGGAAGTGATGGGGTGGGACGCAGACGTCAAAATCACTTAATTCTCGCTCCCTCTCTGAGGGTCTCGGGATGAAAGGCAATGTGAGATCAATTATTCCAGAGAAGGAAGCTATCTATGCCAAGGAACACACATGAGAAGGAAGCTGGAACTTTCGGATGAGCTGAGGCCCAGAGGGGAAGTAACCAGAGGAAGCTCGGACCAGAGGCAGAGATGGCACACATGCTGCCTTCTCCCTTCCTTCCTGCATCTTCATGCTTCACCCCACCTGGAAGATGCCTCACCTTCTGGGGAACATCCCAGCCTCTGCTGGCTCCTGGAGCCACTAATGCTGCTGATTTACTCAAGGTGAGGAAGAGCTGTTTGAGTTTTATTTTGGAGGTCAGTGGCACTTGGTGAAAATAAAGCTTTCTATATAATAATTTTAAATATGCTCAGTGGAAACAATCCAAGAGTCCAACAAAAGGTACAACCATAGAGCAGAATACTGAAGAGAAAAAAGTGTGAGTCGCTCAGTCGTGTCCGACTCTTTGCGACCCCATGCACTGTAGCCCTGCACGCTCCTCTGTCCACGGGATTTCCCAGGCAAGAACACTGGAGTGGGGAGCCATTTAGGATCTTCCCGACTCAAGGACTGCAGGCTGAGCCACCAGGGAAGGCCAGAAGGTGACAGTGAAAATACAGTCAGCGGAAACAAGCCCGAGGTCCAACACAACACACATCCACACGATAGAATATTACTCGGCCATAAAAAGGAATGTGGGCCTGACTCACGCTGCAACACGGATGAGGCCTGAAAACATAAGGCTGAGTGAAACAGAGCTGACACAAAAGGCCACACACTGTAGGATTCCGCTTATATGAAATGCCCAGAATAGGAGGCCAAATTCGTAGAAACAGAAAGAACATGAGTGGCTGTCTACAGTTTGGTTAGGGCAGGGCAGGGCAGGGCAGGGCAGGGTGGGACGGAGGCTGTGGGTGATGGCTAAGGGCTGTGAGGTTTCTTTTGGGGGTGATGAAAACATTCTGGAATCTGTGGTGATGGCTGGTCAACCTTGGGCATGTACTTAAAACCACTGAATTGTACAGTTTAAAATGGCGGATTTATGGTATGTGAATTCCATCTCGGTTAAAAAAATAAAATAATAAAAAATTTTACATGTGGTAACTTCCCTAGTGGTCCAGTGGTTAAGAATCTGCCTTCCAATGCAGGGGAGGCGGATTCGATCCCTGGTTAGGGAACTAAAATCCCACATGCCTCGGGGCAGCAAAGACCCAACACAGTAAAAAAAAAAAATTTTATTTTTTTAACCTGCTGAGAACGGAAGTGGACTGGATGCAAAGCAACACAAGGAAGGCGGGGCTTAGGATCAAAGGCCCGGGCTTGACAGGCTGCCCTGGTGGCTCTGCTGGTAAAGAAGCTGCCTGCAATGCCGGAGACCCCGGTTTGGTTCCTGGGTCGGGATGATCCACTGGAGAAGGGATAGCCAACTCCAGTGTTCGTGGGCTTCCCTGGTGGCTCAGCTGGTAAAGAATCCACACGCAATGTGAGAGACCTGGGTTCGATCCCTGGGTTGGGAAGATCCGCTGGAGAAGGGATAGGCTACCCACCACTCCAGTATTCTGGCCTAGAGAATTCCATGGACTGTACAGCCCATGCGGTTGCAGTATGACACAACTGAGCGACTTTCACTTTCACTTCACTTTCAGGCTTGACAGGCTGTCCGAATAACCTCTTCCTGGAGCTGACTTCTTCACCCGTTGTTTTTGAGAAGGGACCATGAAATTACATGCAGAGGAGTAAACTGCAAGACAGTGGTAGTAGAAATGATGTAGGGGAACATATGTCTCTGTGGGGAAGCGAGAAGCTGCGGCACTCACTTCCCAGCTGCAGGCCACTGGCTGCCGTGCAGAGCAGGGACTGTTAGAACCTACTGTCTGCAGGCAATATAACTCATGAACGGCCTCTCCTCGAGAGGGCCAGGGCTGTGAGGTTCACCCTTGCAGCCAGGTTGAGAAATGTTCCTGCCAGTCCCAACGGAAACAGGCTAAAGAGCTGCCCACCAGGCAGGGCTGTTAAACCCAAACAGGTCCTCTTCTCACACACACACACAAACGTTATCAGTGTTATCAGTCAACTTCCCCCAGGGAGAAGGGGCCTGAACTGCCCAGATGCTGGCGGGGTCACTTCCTGGGCCTGCCTGCAGGGCCATCCCCCAGCAGCCTCCTCTCCCTTCTCTATAAACAGTTCCCGTCTCCTCCTCCAGCTGCGATGTCTGTGGGTCAACACTCAGCCTGGCCGCGGATGTTGAGTTTAGACCCGAGGCCCTAACTAGTTCTCCTGCTCAAAGGCCCAAGACCCAGCAAAGCTCAGTCCAGCCCAGCTGTGCGCCCAGAGGACGAATTCCCCAGTGACTCCGGGGCAAGGAGCCAGCCCGGGTCACCCGCAGACCCAGAGAAACCCGCACCAGCACCCTGAACTCACCGACACACAGTGAGAGAGGACCGCCACTCACGGCCACAGCCACAACTCCAGGGGCATGCACTAGGGGAACCGATTTCACCTTCACAGGGGCACCCCTGCGGCTGCTCCCCCCTAGCACCACACAGGCACGGCCCCCAGGGGACAGGCCGGAATCACACACAGGAAGAGGCACACAGGGTCCGGCATCCCAGAACGGCATCTCACGCAGTTTACCCAATCGGGAGTTCCAATCTCAGGACAAGTGCCCTGCACAGTCACCCTCGACGGGGCGAGGGGGCGGTGTCACACATTCAGTCACCCCCCCCCCAGGCGGGGGTCACACTCACACAGTCAGCCCCCCCATGGGGGTCACACACACTGTCTCATGCACAGTCACCCCCCACACAGGAGTCACACACAGTCAACCCCAGACGGGGGTCACACTTACACACAGTCACCCCCCATGGGGGTCACATACACCGTCTCATGCAGTGAGCCCCAAACAGGGGTTACACACACACACACAGTCAACCCCCGACGGGGGTACACCAGCACCGCAGTCTCACTGCACAGTCACCCCAGTCCGGCTACCCAGGAGGGGGTTGTCCAGCGGGGTCCCCGCAGTCCCGAGGACCCCTCGAAGCTGTCCCGGCGAAGCCCCCGGCGCCCCGCGCCCCGCACTCGCGGCCCAGGCCTCGCGCGGCGGCTGCTCGGCCGGGCCGGGGCCGCGGGCCCGGGGCTCACCTCGCTGTTGCTGGCGGAGGAGGAGGCGGCGCTGGGCGTGGGCGAGCGCTGCAGGGTCACCAGGGCCATGGTTGCGCTGCGATACGGCGCGCGGGCGCCGCTGAGGCCTCCGGCTAAAGCCGCCGCCGCCGCCCGGGCCGGGCCCGGGGCGCTCCAGGAGCCGCGCGCGGGCGGCCGGGCCGAGCCGGGCCGGGCCCGCCCCTCCCCGTCGGCGTCCGCCGCCGCCCCCGCCCCCCCGCGCCGGCGCGCGCCGGGCCTGAGCGCGGGCGGGGGGCGTGGCCCACGCGGGGCGCGCGTGCGCGTGCGCGGCGCGGGATCCTCGAGGGGCGGCGGGAGGCCCAGGCCAGCCAGTCACGTCCCGAGCGCGCGCCCGACGCGCCAGCTTGCGAAGCGGGGGCGCGCCCGACGGCGAGCAAGTCCTCCCTACGAGGCCCATCCCCTGCGCAGGCGGGGAAACTGAGGTTCCGTGACCGCGCAGCTTGTAATGCGCGGAGCAAGAGGGCATAGAGACAGAAAATAAAAACCTGCTCGTCCCTGCGCCTTGAGCCTCGAGAAGCAGTCTGCATAAATTCGTTTGTTCATTCATTCATTTATGAAATATTTATTGACCACTTAGTGCCCCGTATGGAGTATTCAACATAGGGAACAATATAGAATTGACCTGCCCTAGGGGATTTGATGAAAGTCAATTAAATTGCTGGAACTTACTTTGCCCATCTTTTTATATGAATGCCTACCATGTGTCCGGAAACCCAGCTAACTCCTTGGGAAGTTAGGGAGGGCGTCTCCGAAAAGGGGGCATTTGCTCTCAGACCTGAAGGATGAGCAGGATTAACGGGTGAGGGTGGGAGTTGACTGCTGGGCGTGATCTCCGGGGGAGAGCCTGCACAGAGGCCGGAAACGGAAAGATATCCATCAGCCGCTGGAGCCTAGGGCTGGGGAAGAGGGAGTCAGGGTGCTCTCTAGAAAGCTCTGGCTAAGGCTTGGAGAATGGACTGTGGAACAGAGGCATGAAAGGAGGCCAGGGATGGGCTGCTGTTGTCGTCCTGGGGGGAGGTAACCAGTATGGGGACGGGAGAGAGAGACATGGAGGAAAATACTAAGGGGGTGGCTTGACTTAGCGTCAATTTTCACCCAAATCCCCTACTTCTCTTCTTTCACCCAGCCCATGCACACACGCATCCGCAAGTTTACTGGTCCAGTCCTTGGCATCTCACTGCCAAACCAGCAACACAGGCAGCCTGTGCGATACTCCTGCTTTTTCCCCTAGATCCAGGGGCTGGGACCTCCTCCATATTCCCTCAGTATCATTCTTCTCAGCGGGGTTTGTGGCGGGTGGGGGGTGGTTTGGACTATTTTTTTTTAATGTGAGATCTTAGTTCCCCCACCAGGGATGAACCCATACCCCCTGCAGTGGAAGAAGGGAGTCTTAACAACTGGACTGCCAAAGAAGTCTTCCTCCCCTCTCCCCACTTCATTTATTTTCTTTTTTAATTTGTGTGAATATTTTTTAATGTCTTGGCAGATGGGGAGAGCTGTTGGTTTTTCTGGCGTTTAGAGGGCAGGAGCTGGAAATGCTAAAAATGCTGAAAGTCCTGCAGTTCACTGCTCTGTGCCCTCCATCCTTCCTGCCTTCCAAGAAGAATTTCTCCATTCCCATCAGACTCCTGTGGGGGTGAAAGCACCGTTCATAATTATCGGACTCCATTTGACATATCAACACAAAGTATTTTTCACTGAATTTTCAGAAATGCAACTATGTTTAAACAGAAGGCAGAATATACTTCGTTTTGTTTGAGAGCTTTGTCAGGAGCTGTTCACCATTTGGAAAACAGAGTTTATAGAAGGAAACATCACTCCTAATATTGGAGAAGTTGACCCAACACACTGGCATCTTGGTAGACAGACTGCTCTGTTTATTTAGCACCTATTTTTAAATGTCAAGCATGAGACAAAATTATGGGCAGTATTCAATTGACTAATGACTATCTTACTTCTCAATTCTGAATACATTCATTTGAAAACAGATACACGTGGGACTTCCCTGGCAGTCCAGTGTTTAAGACCCCGAGCTTCCACTTCAGAGGGCACGAGTTTGATCCCTCGTGATTGAACTATGATCCCACATGCCATGTGGCCTAGATAAATAAATAAATAAAAATTTTAAAAGTCTAGACACTTCAACACAACATTGTAAATTGACTATACTTCAAAGAAAGAAAGAAAGAAAGAAAAAGACAGACATACTACTGAGACTTCCCTGTGTCCTCCAGGGATGTTATTTCATTATAATGAATTTTCCTTATATGTTAGGGCATTATCAGTCAGTCCAGTCGCTCAGTCATGTCCGACTCTTTTCGACCCCATGCACTGCAGCATGCCATGCTTCCCTGTCCATCACCAATGCCCGGAGCTTGCTCAAACTCATGTCCGTTAAGTTGGTGATGCCATCCCGCCATCTTACACTGTGTATGTATATCTTACCCTCAGGATACATATACACAGTGGAATACTACTCAGCCATGAAAAAGAATGAAATAATGCTATTCGCAACAACGTAGATGCAACTAGAGATTATCACAGTAAGTGAAGTAAGTCAGAAAGACAAATACCATATGATATTACTTGTATATGGAGTCTAAAATATGACACAAACGATTCAATCTATGAAACAGAGAGAGAATCATGGACATAGTGAATAGACTGTTGGTTATCAAAGAGGAAGGAGTTGGGAGAGAGAAGGAGTTGGGAGAGAGAAGGAGTGGGAGATCGGAGTCAGCAGTTGTAAGCTTTTATATATAGAATGGGTAAACAACAAAGTCCTACTGTGTAGCACAGATAACTATATTCTGTATCCTATGATAAACCATAATGGAAAATAATATTTTAAAACAGAATGTGTATGTGTGTGTGTGTGTACACGCATGTGTGTGCACACGTGTGTGACTCTTTGAGACCTCATGGACTGTAGCCCACCAGTCTTCTCTGTCTATGGCATTTTCCAAGAATACTGGCGTGGGTTGCCTTTTCCTACTCCAGAGAATCTTCCTGACTCAGGAATTAAATCCTGAGTCTCTTGCATCTCCTGCATTGGTAAACAGATTCTTCACCACTGTGCCACCTCTGAGGCCCATACATGTATATATGTATGTGTGTGGGTCTGTGTGTGTGTTTATAACTGAATCATTTTGTTGTACAGCAGAAATTAACAAAACATTGTAAATCAACTATATACTTCAATTGAAAAAAAAACAAAACCAAAAACTAAACCCTAATCTGTCTACCCTGGCCTTGCTTACCTTTCTACCCACACCCACTGGTCCGGAGACCATCCCCACCCCTTCTCACTTCCTCTTACAGCTGAGGAGCCCTGTTCCCTCCCACGTGAACTCTTGCCAGACAGCACCTCTAAAAGTCCCTCCTTGCTCCCTAGGCTGGACTCCGCATTTTCCCAGGGTGTCACACCTCTCCCCTCACCTACCCCCAGGCACACAGCAAGTCGTCTCAACATTGTCACAACTGTCTGTCTTCTCACATGGCTTCTAGGGAAAACCTCAGGAGCTGGGCTGGGACCAGGGTGAGAACCCAAAATGTGAAGGGGCAACCAAAACAACAACAACAAAAATTCAACCAAGAGAAAGACTACATTTTTTTGTTTGTTTTTTCCCCACCTTTTTTGGCTACACTGCACAGTTTGTGGGATCTTAGTTTCCCAAGCAGGGATTGAATCCTGGCCCTTGGCAGTGAAAACAGAAGTCCTAACCACTGGACTACCAGGGTATACCAGAGAAAGATTATAGTTTCAGGAATCAAACAGTACGGCAAAAATTGCCAATGAACAAAATGTCAATATTTTGAATGGGATGGGTACTGTATTACTGGTCTTTCCCATTGCCTCAGGCTCCAAAACGGCACTTTCACTGATCCTGTCTTCATCTGTCCCTGTCTGTATTTAAAATTTTGATCATTCTAAACACTTCTGTGAAAACCCAGCTCTGAAAAGACCTGTGGGCTTGCCTTGTGGCCTGTAAGGAGATGGGGCAGGGAGAAAAGAAGTGAGAGCTCCCTGGTCTAGGCTTCAGGGAATTCCAGGAGTGGAGGAGGGGAACCTGGTAGAAGACCCAGCTCCAAAGTTTTCTTGCATCCAGTAGAGTCTTTTCCACTCAGCATCATAATTATTTTTTTCATCATAGTTTATTTGTCATGGTCCTTGTAGTCTCAGTTTTGCAACTATTAAAAACAGCCAGTTAATGAGTTATTTGCTGTTTGCTAGGTGGTAGGCAAAGTGATTTGCAAATGTGTTGGGGACAGGGGTTTTCTATGTGAATGTCCCCATGCTACCCCCCAGGGCCACCTCCTCCAGGAAGGCTTCCCTGACCTGAGGCCAGATTAGCTACCCCTTATCAAGGCTCCTGCAGCCCCTCTGCTTTGTTCTGGCTTGAACCTCTTTGTTTATTTCTCGTCACATGGTTGTGGTTCTCCTTTCATGGCTGAGGAAGCTTATGCACAGGGTGGTTTAGTCGCACGCCCACGGTCACAGAGCTAGGGCGTGGTAAAGCTGGTTACTTGGACACTTGTTTTTCTTCTTTAGAACTCAGACAAGAGACAGAGGTTCTTCCAGGATAGCCTAGGAGGGGAGAAGGGAAAAGAACGCTACTGATAATTCCATTTTCAGAGCAACTGATTTGCAATTCACAAGTATTAAATAACAAAGCTCTGGTAGACTGAATCATGGTTCCCCAAAGAGGTCCATGTGCACCTGTAATGTGTTACCTGATATGGAAAGAAGGACTTTACGACTGTGATTAAGTTAAGGGAGTTGAGGCAGGAGGATTATCCCGAGTTATTTGGATGGGCCTGATACAAACCCAAAGGTCTTTATAAGAAGCAGGAAGAAGGATCAGAGTGAGAAGTAGGAGATGTGACAACACAAGAGGTTGGGGTGATGTGAGGAAGGCATGAACCGAGGGATGCAGGTGGCCGCTAAAAGCAGAAAAGAGAAAGACAAAGGAGTGAATCCCCTCCTCATCATCTCCAGAAAGAACACAGGCTTGCCATCATCTTGATTT